TTGTCTTAAAGTACTTGTGATTGACTAAAGATCACAGACTAATAAATGTCAGACAGAGTAGAATCAAACTTTACTTCTGTTTTCCTTTTAGATAAGTAAAACTGCTAACTAAAATCTTTTTTAGTTTTTCTTGAACCTAAGTACTTGGAACCAATATAACCATCTACTTTGCAGGAGGTCAAATTCTGTTCAGGTTTATTCAACAGAAATCTTGGAGGTAGCCAAATAACTTGAAATTGTGGATGGAGTTCTTATTGTTGTCAGTATCATTAAATTACATTATGCAAAGTTTAAAAAAACTTACAGTTTTTTGATATATTTAACATACTTCTGTACACTTAAAATATAAAGTTGCTGTACAGATTTTTAATGTATTTAATCTTCAGCTGTTACATAGTAACTGTTTAATCATTGAAATTACACTGTATGTGACAAATCTACAAAAATTTTGCTATTGTTAGCCAATAGAAATTTACATTTAAAACATTAAAAGATAATTCATGCCATTAAGATTAGGATAGTTTAAATGATAATGAAGTGAACATATGTTTGATTCATTAGTATCTATCAAAAACTCCCATTTTAAAGGGCCCTCTTCTTTCAGTACCTTTAGTTGGTCAGATTCATTAACAGTGATATTTGTATATCTGTTTTTCTAATTGTTGTCTTTTAACGTAGGCCAGTATTATTAGTATATGATTGAAAGATGTTTTTTCAAAGTCAGTATTATTTGTATATGTGGAAAATACTTAAACTTAATTAAAACATTTATTATTTTTAAGTGGATAATAAAATGAGGATACATTTTTGTGATACTTTTTGATAGCAAAATATAAGCTCAAACTTATTTTTCCTTTCACATGAATTGAACCCTTACTTTCCTCCTGAATATAATTAGAGAATAGTCTGTAAATTTCAGAATGATGATTTCAGCTCTTTGCCATTTACAACAGGAATAAATATGGATGCATTCAGTTCCTTCCATTAGAGGTTTTTCTTTTCATAAACTGCTCTAAAACTATCAGTTTAAATTTAGGTGATAAAGACAGTAGGCACCAGCATGTTTTTTAATTGTAGAAGTAACAGAGATCTTAATGAAACTGATTTTAGCAATAAGAATGTTTACGTATGTGTCTATTGAAATTTATCTCCCCTTTTTTCTCATGGTATTTTGATGCCTTTATTCTAGAACTCATCATAGCAGTGTATATTGCATATATCTGCTTCTCTTTCCAGTTTTTCCACTGTAATGTGAGCCTGGAGAGCTGAATCTACTTGTTATGCATCTTTCTGTGTCATTTAGAGCCTGAGACATAATAAGCTATAAATGTTATTTAATGCAATGCCAGGGATCAAACTCGGTCTTATGCATGCTGAGCAGGCTCCCTACTACTGAGCTACACCCCCAGCCCCCAATAGATTAAAAATGAATTCAATCTTTGCGAAGTAACACAGTGAGAGAAATTTATGTTGTTCTATTCATCTTTACCCACTAAAATCTATTACTTAGATTTTTATATTATTCAGTGCATCAGTTTTTACATTAAAAAGATTCCATGTACTTGTTAATTTTGTTTATAGAGTTATTTTATGTATTCTGAGGATAATTACTGATAGTTTACCATCTGTTTCTATTAATCAGTCTTTTCAGTCTCCCTAATCAGTTGTTTTATGCTACATTTTATATTTGAAATAATCTCTCCCTTTTGGCTTTCAATGGTTTTGATATGTAGAGAATGTATAATATATTCTGTGATCTTCTACAAGTTATGTTTGTGGCATAATTTTGACCTGGGTATCTCTTCTGATAAAGTATTGTAAGTGGTAAAGTGATAGTTGTTTTTATAAAAAGTTCTGGTTTACACTGTCTGTGAAATGTAGGCCCTCCACCCTGAATGACACAGATGTTTAATTTTCATTCTAATAAAAATGGAAAATTATTCTTTGTTAAATGCTTATTTTGTTTCAGTATTGTGATGAGTACTATTGTTTATACCTCAAAATTTGAAGGTAAATATTGTAAATACTCTTAAAAGTATAACTAAACTTGCAAAAAGGTAAGGTGTTTTATAGGTACCATAAAATGAAGTTGCTTATCAAATATGTAGCTTGCTTGTTCTGAAGCTATGAGTGCCTCTGGCATTTGCTCATTTTTATGACTTAGGGTTTTGATTTTAACAGCTGTGTGAGGGCAGGAGCATGGCTTTGGTCTGTTAAATGTAAGAAAATCCTCTAAATATCCCATTAACTCTCAAATATCCCATTAACTCTCCTACTCCACAGGATAGAAAAGTAAAGTTTGATCTGAAAGTAGTTTGATTTTTTGAAAACACTATTAAAATTATAAACATTCAAAAGAAGTCATTAGAAAAGACTTTTAAATTAAAAAAGATATAAAACTTCTTTAAAAAGAATGAATAAGACTAAACTTTTCAAACAGGTGACCAGGCATCATTGAAGAGAGAATGAGATATTTAAAGAAATTATTCACACTTACAAAGCGAAGAGATGAAAAGTTTAAACAGTTTAAGAAATGTAAAAGACAGAATGAGACTGTCCAGAAATATGTTTAGTGGAGTGCCGAAAAATATATAGAATGGAAGATGGGAAATAATTACATTGGCTAAAATTATCCAGAACTGAGGGCAGATCCTCAGATTTAGACTGCACAGTTAACTCCAAATAAGATACATGGTAATGAAATTTAAAACACCAAAGACAAAGGGAAGATCTTAAAAAAGGCCACAAAGAGAAGGCAAGGGCAGGGGAATGGGGAAAAAAATAAGATATATTATGTAAAAGTACAATTCTCCAATGATAAATGTCATTATATTGTATACATAAAATGTACTGATAAAATTCATTTTTTAAAAAAAGAACAGACTGACAGCAGCTTTCTGAAAGGATCGATGGCCCACTGCAAGTCAGAGACTAACATATTAATGTGGTGAAAGTTAAAACCAGTGTATGCGTAGTATTATACTCCGCTGATCAGTTATTCAAGGTAAGGTGGTAATGAGCACCTTTACAACCATCAAAAAGTATTTCCTGTCCACAGAAATTGCCTGAATACTTTAAACTGGCATGGGTGTGTAGGTGTACAGTTTCGGGAAATGGTTAAGTATGTTAATTAGAATTGAGACAATTTCATTCTTTCAAATACTTAAGTATCTCACCCTAGAGTATGGAAAAATGGGGCTAAATTATGGAGTTTTCCCACTGATTTGTGTCTTAGTTACTTTTCTCATTGCTGAGACAAAATATGCAACACCCAAAGTTAAAGGAGGAAAGGTTTATTTAGCTCACAATGTGTAGAAGTTTCAGTCCATAATCAGCTGACTTCAAGGCAGAGTGGCACGTAGCAGAGAACAGTACATGGTAGGCAGAGGGTAGCAAGGCAAGGAACCAGACAACCCTCTTTCTGTCCTTTATATTATATCCAAGCTCCTGGATTTGGGTAGTGCCAAACCAATCAGTGGACTGATTTACTTATCACCTACCCTTAATCCTACCACCTTTAATTGTAGCATTGCACCATGAATCAGTCAAGATCACTCTAGATCAACCACGTCTGAAAAAGCCTCACCTATGACTGCAATAAACTTTAGGGGGACCTGTAGACAGAAGCCATAACAGTTTATTATTACTATCTATAAGTTTAGCCTTGTAGAACAAAATACATGTCACCAACTTTTTATTTAGCTGATCTAGTAATTTGAACTATTTAATTTCGGTTAGCCAAGGAATACACACTATGTAATGGAAAGTGACCATTTGTTTTCTTCATTCCCAATTTCAGTTCTGTATAGCATTAACTTTAATTTCAAAGAAAGGCAGTTTCTTCTTTTGTCAGTCAGCTCTTAAGTTGGATTTTAACTGTCAAATCCTTTAATCAAACGCTCCAGCCTTTTTTTTTGTAGTGATGTGAAGTCCCTGTCACATTGTCTTAATGACTTCAGCCAAGTGCCTTTTGGTTTGATGGTTTGTAATGTTCACTCTGAAGTGCTGCTATGATTCTGTGTATTTCTGTGAGGAAAAAAAAAATGAGAGAAACAGCAACAGTATCAAAGGTAGCGTTGAGGAGCTGAGAAATCTTCAAGAAATCATCATTTATGAGCAACAGCAAATCCCAGGGCAATAGCAAGAAAGAGAAAAGCATGAGTGGAGAGAGGACGCTGATTAACATTTCTCAAATTTCAGTTTTGTACCATCTTCACAGCTTTTACATTAGTCCCATATTGTCTAGATTGTTTATATTTAAAAATAATCATAGTCATTATTTTTTTGTTTTTATTAGTTAGTTCTTGTTTGTAAGACGTAACTATTACATTAATTGTAGTGGTTGACACATGTATATAACATACTTTTATTCTTTTTACTTCTCCCTTCCTCCCTCTCTCTTCTTCCCTTATCCCATTCATTTCTTGGTTCCCTTCCTATTTGTGTGAGATCCATCTCCCTTATGATTTATTTTTTTTAATCATTAAGTTTATTGGTATATTTTAGGTATACAATATGACATTCACCATTGAGAATTTATACCTAATATTTTTTAAGGAAAATATTTTCATCATAAGAAAAGTGAAATTCCATATTGCCCACTAAAAAGAAAGTGCTTGTCTAAATCTATTAAAAAGGAAAGCACAATAGCTGTATCCTGTATCCTGTCATTGAGCCCAAGGCCTACTTTCTCTTACAAAGAAGGAAAAACAAGTGTCAAGAAATGTTACACACATGTAGGCAGCATCCACAGGCTCCTGTTGAATTGAAGCAGAGGTATTGAAAAGGTGCATGAAGGAAATAAACTTGATCTGTAGGTGATTTTGTCTTCCTTGTCTTGTGCTATGTAGCGTTCCAATGGTGTTACAGATGAATGTGAAATGATCAGGTAGGTTAGAGTTGCTATATATGTTACTGAGTTTCTATCTTTTAGTGTTTTTTTATTTGGAAGATGTTATTCTTTATTTCCTATATTGAAATGGTTTTAATTTTTTTTGAAGCTCTTTTCAGAGGCTGTGCTGATGGAGGTGCCAACCGCTTGTATGATATCACTGAAGGAGAGAGAGAGAGGTATGCTTCTGTTCAGCCAGTGCCCATACATTACTAACTTCTGCTCATTTTTGTTTTATTATTTACTTAGCAAGTGAATACTCATAATTTTTGTTGTGCCTTTTATAGAAAAAGATCTCAGTTGAGAGAGTGTGAGTTGCTTAACCATGTTGTATTATTTCTTTAAATAGAATCTCTAAGGCCCATCTATTCTTTTTTTTAAAAGCCTCCTATTTCAAAGCCTCATTAAGTAGCATTATCAAATATTGGTATTTGTGAGAATTTTGAGCATTAGCTGAAATAAAGCTTCATCTAGTAATTTGAGTTTTATTCAAACACTTAAAATGAATACAAACTGATCTCATATAGAAGAAATATATTCTATTATAGATAATGTGAGATTTTATATTAATGTAGGGTAGGGCCCACAATGAGTCACTCTAACTTAATTACTTCTGAGTTATGCTCACATATATATTTAAGGGATAATGTTTATTGCTTAATGATTTGCCATCTGCACTGTCTGCTTTTTTTGATCTGCATGGTGAGCTATTTTTAGCTGAGAGAATACGTTCGTAGAAGCAGATTTTAACCCTAGCACATTGCAAACATGTTTTTAGTCAAACCCCTTGGCAAACCCAAGAAATTATAGTATACATATAAGTAGACTAGGTATTAAATGTTGTTCCAACCCCTATCATATGTTATTAAATTTATTGAAAGGTTTATAGTTTCAGAAGTCATCTACTTGCTGCAAAAAAACAAAATAAAAATATTATGATGCAACATACCCTAGTTGTGCATTAAATATAGGTATTTTGAAATGATATTTTTTTCTTTATGGCATCAAAATGTTTACCTTCAAGTGTCTAATACTAGAGCTGCCTTTTGCCAGCAGGTGGTGGCTTACCAGGAAGAAGGCATTTTTCCTTTGAGATCAGCCATGCTAATGCAAATGCCTGGGTGCTGGACACATTATCATAAAATACTGTAATGGTGACAGCCTTAGAAACAGTTTAAATTCATAATGTTTTTTCACTCCTTTGTTTTGTCATTTTGTAAATTCATGTGATAGTATTCTCTTAAGACCTGATATGGACAAAGTGTGAAAAAAATAATTTTTAAATATTATAAAATGTGCTTTAATCATTTCAAGCAAGCACATAATGCTCATGAAGCCTAGATTATGAGTTGGTTATTGTTTATTCCACACCTGTACCCTGCTTGCTGGTAAACAGTCTAGTGCTGAGCACTAGTACCTTAATAGTAGGTGTAGCTTGTCAACATAATTATAGCCAGAGCTGTGAAAGAATATTAACCCACTGTTTTCCTACATTTCTTGATCATTAGAATCATCAAGAATATTTGAAGAAAAATACAGAGTTTTATATTCATTATTTTTTATCAGATTGGACCAGACACTAATATTGAAAATAACAGGGAACATATTTTTTTCACATTTAAAATGAAAACAGAGTACCACATTGTGGGAACATGTACCATTATCTTTGCTGATATCGGTTTCACAATTATTATGTTTAACATCTCTCAACATATTTATAAGTAATCTTATAGAAGTCTTCCAAGGAGATTAATGTAATTTTTCTAACAAATGTTTGTCCATATATGAAGATGTTCGATAAAGTGGTGTGCTTTACATTGATTTTCTTCTTGTAGTGATGTGTTTGCATTGATTCATATTCTGATGCCTTGGGACATAGTGGGACTGGGTAAGGGTAGAGTCTTTAATAGGGAGATGAGTGAAACTAACTGCCTCAAGTGGGAATTAAATCTTTGGAATAAATCTCATTAAATCTAAGCCCTAAACAGTTGTACTAATTGGATACAGGTGACTAAACATAATTCCACTTTAATTGTATTTTTAACAAAAGCCTCCACAATAAAAGAGGAAAGATATTCATGTGTGTGTTAAAGAGGCAATATGTAGTTTCCAGACTGCTGCTTTGCTGTTCTCGTTTATTTATTTAACATCCATATATGCATGCCACAAGGCATACATTTTTAAAAAGCTAACCCCATTTGAGAACAAAATGAATTATTTATGCATTTGGAATGGAAGGAAGACTGGTATAGATAAGAGCACAGGTACAGGCTGATAAGGCTAGAACCTAGGGGGTCTTTAGTAATAGACTGGTGATCTTCCCTCTACTTAGGCTGAGGAAGGTCAAACCTGAGATACCACTCTTATCATTACTCTGCCCGTGGATGCCACTGGACAGCCAGGGTTAGGTCTGTCCCTCTTGGAGCTGGAACCTGAGAGAGCTTGAGTAGAATCGGGGTATGTTTCCTGCCCTGGTCTTATGTGCTAGCTGCCTCTACTACTTCACAGATTCAGTGGGAAAGGGAAGATTGAGGTTAGGTTATGTGGGACAGAACCCACTGGGAGTGTGGGAAGATCCAGGACTGTGTGGTCACAGGAAGAGCACCCCAAACTAACACTAGGACTGTGGGACAGGTGGAGGAGATTGGAAGAGATGTCTAAGGATTGAAGGAAGAGAGTATTCCCGAGAGTGGAGTGCTCACCTGTGTTAAATGCCACTGAGAAGCCTTGTGCAGACTAAAGGAGGTATTGAATGTGGGTGTTATCAGTATAAATATAGCACCTACTTATTATGAAGCCCAAAAAGTCTAAGAATAGGCCCTAGAAATACAGTGCAAAGTACAGTATGAAAAGGAGACAGGACTAACATTCTTTTTTTTTAATATTGAGTTTATTGGTACATTTAAGGTATACAGTACAATTACATTCATTATTGGCATCTTGTACCTTTACATGACAGGTGTTGGTTCTCATTTTCCCCCTTGTCCCTGCCCTCACTTCACCCATTCCTCCCCTCCCCATTTACAACACTTTATTTCCATTTTTTCATTTTCTCATAATTTTTTCTTTCCCCTTATTACCTTTCCCCTACCCTTCTCATTTTCCCTACACCTTTAGCTCTTTTCTTCCTATTTCACATTGTCACTTATATCATTAGGATCTTATGTACTATTGTAGTTTTTCACACCAGAGAAACTATTCGGTATTTATACATGTGTGACTTATTTATTCACTTAGGAGTATATCCTCAATATGTATCCATTTTCCTATGAATGCATCTAAGTTTTAATTCTTTATGGCTGAGTAGTATTCCATTTTATAGACAAACCACATCTTCTTTATCCAGTTTCCAACTGATGGGCAAATGGACTGTTTCCAAATTTTAGCTATTACAAACTATGCCACTATAAACATTGGTGCGCATATATCACTGTGATATGATTCTTTTAATTCTTTTAGAAAGATACCTGGCAGAGAGATGGCTGGGTCAAATGAATCCTCTACTCCCAGTTCTTTGAAGTATCTCTATATTGATTTCCATAGTGGTTGCACCAGTCTGCACTCCCACCAACAATGGAGAAGGGTTCCTTTCTCCCCACAGCTCCATCAACATTTGTTATTGTGTGATTTCTTCAGAGCAACCATTCTTTGTGAAGTGAGGTGGAATCTCAGTGGTGTTTTCATCTGCATCTCTTGAATGTGGAACATTTTTTCATATATTTACTTGATGCTTTTACTTCTTTGTCTGAGAAATATCTGTTCATTAAGGTGCCCATTTATGAATTGGATCTTTATATTTGGGGGGAGCTGATTGTTTTGAGTTCTTTATATATTCTCGATAGTAGTCATTTGTCTGAGGAGCAGCTGTTAAAATTTTTCCCACATTGTATGTTGTCTCTTAGTTTTGTTGATGGTTTCGTTTGCAGTACAGAAGCTTTTTAATAAGATGAGATCCCACTTGTTGATTCCTTGTGCTAGTTCTCGTGCTACTGAGGATTTGTTCAAAAAGTCTTTTCCTATGCCAGTGTCATCAACAACAGTTCTGCCTAATTTATCTTCCAGCAAGTTTAGTGTTTCTGTTTTAATGTTTAGTTCCTTAATCCACTTGGATTTTAATTTAGTGCATGGTGAAAGATAAAGGTCCAGTTCTAATCTTTGGCAGGTTGAAATCCAGTTTTTCCAACACCATTTATTAAAGAGGCTATCTTTCCTCCACTGAGGATGGTCAGCTCCTTTGTCAAAGATGAGATAGCTGAGTACATCTGGATTTGTTTTTGTGTCTTCCAGTCTGTTCCACTGATCCTCAGATCTGTTTCTTTGCCAGTACCATGCTGTTTTTATCACAGTGGCTTTGTAGTATAGTTTCAAATTGGGAATTGTTATACCCGCTGCCGTGTCTCTGTTGCCTAGGATGGCTTTTGCTATTCTAGTTCTCTTCTGGTTCCAAATGATTTTTTGGATTCTTTTTTCTAGTTCTGTAAAATATAGTGTTGGAATTTCAATTGGCATTGCATTGAATCTGTATAGCAGTTTTGGTAGTATAGCCATTTTCACTATGTTGATTCTTTCTACCCAGGAACAGGGGATATCTTTCCATTTTCTTATATCATCTCCAGTCTCTTTTTTCAAAGTGTTGTAGTTTTCATTGTAGAGGTCTCTTGCTTCTTTTGTTAGATTGATTCTAGATACTTCATTTTTTTTGGATGCTATTGTGAAAGGAATTGTTTCCCTAATTTCTCTCTCAGTGACTCTGTTATTTGCGTACAAGAAGGCTATTAATTTTTGGGTGTTGACCTTGTATCCAGCTACTCCGCTAAAAGTATCAATTAAGTCTAGAAGTCTTTTGGTAGAGGTTTTGGGTCTTAAATGTAGAGTATCATATCAGCAAATAATGACAATTTAAGTTCTTCCTGTCCTATCTTTATTGCTTTAATTTCTTTCTCTTGTCTAATTGCTATGGCTAATGTTTCCAGAACTATATTGAAGAGGAGTGGTGATAGTGGGCATCCTTGTCTTGTTCTGGATTTTAACGTGAAAGTTTTCAGTTTTTGGCCATTTAATATGATGTTGGCTGTGGGTTTTTCATAGATAGCCTTTATTAAGTTGAGATATAGACCATCTATTCCAATTTTTTGCAGAGTTTTTATCATCAATGGGTGTTGAATTTTGTCAAATGCTT